GATCTATTGCCCGGCTGGGCGTGGCTCAACGGTTGAGCATTGACCTAGGATCCAGGCGATCGGGGTTCGATTCCCAGTCACGGCACATGCCCGGGTTGTGGGCTCCATCCCCGGTCAGGGGCGTGCAGGAGGCAGCCGACCAATGAGTTGCTCATCACTGATGTTTCAATCTCTCCCTCTCCCTCCCCTTTCCTCTCTCTGAAATTAATAAAGATTTTTTTTTTAAAAAAAGGTAATGCATAAATTTAAAATATTTAAAATAATAATATAATGATCTATTATCCCAGGATAATAAGGACCTCTTGAACTAAATAGTGGTCTACCTTAAAATGTAGTTTCAAAACATTTTATACAAATTTATGGATACACAGATATTTAACAAGAAAACAGGACATAGTCATAATCCCTTTATTTTTAATCCTTACCTGAGGATATGTTTTTATTGATTTTAGAGAGAGGAAGGGAGGGAGGGAGAGAGAAACACTGATGTGAGAAACACTGGTCAGTTGCTTCCCACATGTGCCCCAACTGAGGATGGAACCTGACCAGGGATTGGACCTGCAAACTTTTGGTGTATGAGACGACGTTCCAAACATCCGAGCCACCGGACCAGGGCCATAGTCATAAACTTTTAAAACTAACAGAAGATAATATATACTCTCATATAATATCCCTTGATTGTCATTAGCGTGAGAATACTTAATAAGCTTGAACATGGGTCAGATCCAGTTCAGATCCTATTATGGTTTAACAATGTTTTTACAGGGTTATTTCATTATGTTCACAAAGATTTAAATATTGGATTTAGAAAAGTCACTATCGTAATATCAAGAGAATATCTCAGAGTAATAATAAAAGAGACTAATGAGAGCTATATGACAATAAGGGCAATATTATGAAACTCTTTTTATTAAAATTGATCTGACTAAAATTTATGACAAACCGTTTCAGAATAAAGTGGTTTACAGAGGGGCTAAATGGACATCCTCATCTATGTACACTTCATACTCCAAAAATGTTCACCACACATTCCCCCACTTTCCATCAAGCAAGATACTACTCTGGCAGGAGGAAAAGGGTGAGGACAGAAGAGAGTATGAGAGCTCCCAGAGAGCTGGAAACAGTAGGAAAGTGTACCTAAAATACGACTGAACTAAAAAGTTATGAATAACTGGATGTCTTCAGGTTCTACCCTAGAAATGTTTAGGAAGTATCCCTCTAGAAGTATGTATAGGTGTGCCTACAAAGGTGTCCATCTGCAAAGTGGGTGGGNACATTGAATCTGGTAACACACACATTATGTTAACATTCAGTGTATGTTCGTATTTCCCCAGAAATAAGAAAATCGCTTCAACTCAGGGAGGCTGTTCTAGCTCTGCATAATGAATTGTTATAAAGTCCTTCCTTCTTTTGGTTTGATTCTATGCTTTGTATCCAAAGGTTTACCTTTGGGGGTATGCAAAACAAGCCTAAACCCACCTAACATTATTGCAACTCCTATCACTGAAAAGCTCCTGATTTCCTTAACGTAAAAAGAGTATCTATAAAATAATAATACAAGCAACCCAACAGAAAAAAAATAGGGCAAGGACATAAATATGTATGATGAACAAATATCTAAAAGTGAAAAGTTAATCATTCTCACTCAGATAAAAGAAATGCAAATTAAAACTAAGATGAGGCACTATTTTTCACTTGTCAAAACAGCAAAGATAAAGAGAAATTGGGTAAATATGTTGTGTTAGTGATGCTGAGGGAAAATAGGTACCCTCATACATCGCTGCAATGTCAATTGATACAACCTTCATGGCAGATGTTTAATGAAGCCAGTAAAGATCAGCTTTTTGAAGAATATTGGGAAAATGCTGAGTATAATGTTAAGTTTTAAAAAGGCACAAAACATACACAATATAACACGAGAAAAAAGTCCTGGAAGAAAATACATCAAAACAATAGCAATACCTATTTCTGGATGGTAAGACAACTTAAGAAGTGATTCTAACTTTGTTCTTTATGCTAATTAGCATTTTCAAAATTTATAACAAGCCTGTAGAAAATGCCCCAGGGATGTACAGAGCAAGAGCAGAGCAGACTCGCTGGACACCATGGACAATCCAACATGGAGTGAGTCCTGACAGTCAAGTGCCATGCCAAGGCTGAGGTGACGGGGTATACGGGCATGCCTTTGGGAGGGCCCAGGATGCCCCACATCCCAAGTCTGGGCACCTGGATAAGGACTCCATCTGGACCCATATGAATGGCTCCTCCGCCCCTGGTGGGCTGCAGGAGCTCAGAGCTCCAGCCACCCGACGCTCGAGCCCGGCTGCACCCCGGGTCACCCAGAGCCCCGCCGGACTGCAGCTCCACGGGGCGCACGCTGCCGCTGCCACCGCCACCGCCACCGCCCGGCTTGGGGCTGACGCCGCCTCTCCACCTGCAGGCGCCACCAGCGACCAGGACTGCGCTCTGGGCACTCGCTCGGCTCGCTTCCCCTCTCTGCGTGCAACCCGCGTGAGACTCTACTGGCTTATTGGGGGGGGGGTCTCCCTAATAAACCTGGTATTGTGGAAAGACACAGCCGTGTAACTCCTTTCGAGGGTGCTCCCTTGCTCATGACAGTGGGTGATAAGGCTGCACGCCTGATAATGGCTCCACAGTGATGAAGGCAGAGTTGGATTCATGTGTTGTCAGCTCAGTGAAATAAGGGCTGATCAGATGTTTCCTATAATGTCTACACTATTCATGCACTCCCAGGACACTACAGCTAGAAACAATCTCACCTCAAAATTATACAAATTCGTTCAGACACTGACTGCTTTTTACTCTATTTTTTGATTGTTTGTTTGTTAATTCTCACCCGAGGATATTTTTCCATTGATTTTTAGACAGACTGTGGGGGAGGGCGACATCGATGTAAGAGAGACACATCGATTGGTTGCCTCCTGCGCTTGCCCTGAACGGGCCAGAGATCAAACCTGAAACCCAAGTACATGCTCTTGACCGGGAATTGAACCCGAGACCCTTCAGTGCTCGTGCTGATGCTCTAACCACTGAACCACACAGGCCAGGGTGCTTTTTACTCTATTTTACTGCTATTTAGTTACAAGTCTTAATTCTACTAATAGGTTATAAGCTTCTTGACAGCATCTGCATCTGATTTACCTTCATAGCTCTTACAGCACCTCGTTCAATGCTCAATGAATTTCAACAGATATACCACTGATTGCCACTCTGAAGATATAACACAGGTACAAATACATCATTTAACTGAAGCTAAGAATTGGTATGCAGAAGATAGAGGTTATAAAAAACATGGTACTTAGTTTTTTTAAAAAGCAATAGCATACATGTCCTAGATTGTACTGCTTTTCAAAAATTTGATGACAAATATTATTTTTGGTGGTAACTGATGCTTGATGATGTGCCTTAAAAGATGAATGTGCAGCCAGAAGCCTTTACTCTCATGTGAAGGTTATGCTTGATCTACTGTTGCAACCACTCTTTTTAGTAGATCATCATTGTCCCTTGGCCACCTGTGGTTAGCCCAAAGCCACAGCTCAAAGAGCTCATTTCCAATGGTCTCAGAGTGGGTTGGCCTGGGCTATTATTTCCTGTTCAACCACAGGTACATCATTTAAAGCAGTTTCTTTTTCTTTTTTCTTTTTTTTTTTTTAGAATAAGCTAAAAGCATTTTTTTATTGCTTCTCTTCAAGGCTGCCAGGACAATGGCTGCTCAAGTTCCTGGCTGGTGTACATGTGCTCCAACAACCAGCACATCAGAGGCGGGTTACATCACATCCCACTGACTAGATGCAGCAGGACTCTGTCACTGAGCCCTTTTTGTTCTTTACCATTTGCTAAGTCTCTAAGGTAAGGGTGATGAAACTGTTCACAAACATAGAGGCTGCTGTCTACAGTAGTCAGTTAATGTGTGCTGATGAAGGTAGGCTGTGACTGCTATTGTCATACTTCTAATTAGATATGAAGGTTGATGCTATGCTGGTGACTCTCACGCCTAGAGCACAATTTTTCAAATGGCAAGTTGTGACTCATTAGTGGTGAAATCAATGTATGTGATGCCACAATAAGCATCTACATGAATTTATATGAGCAGGAAAGAACAGAAAATGGAGAACCTCACATTAGTAAACTAAAGCAGTTTTGTGACACTTTTGCTTCAGTTATATATAGGATGTTATGTATGCTGATACTGGGTTAGAATGTAAAAAATACTCCACTATGGGTCTCTGTAAAAAAAAAAAAAATTAGAGAAATGCTGCCTAGAGTTGCTCAAACACCATGTGTGCCTTTATGGTCAGTTTTTCTACTTAAGGATATCTTTAAATGGCCAAAAGTCTACATTCAAAACCCAATAAACTACGGAAATGCTTTATTTTTTGACACATTACCATTTTTTGTACTTTTTTTAAAAAGGGCTTATTGTAACCTTTCTCACCCAGCATGGGATAGTACTCTATTTGAAATGGTCTAGACATGTGACCAAGCCCTCCAAGTACAGTATTTCCCCTTGAAAAGCTTTTATTCACCCAATAACTTTTATAAAATCATTCCCTTGATACCATCTACATACCACTTATTTTTGTATTTCTGACTGACTAGAAACCAGAAATCACAGTACTTGCTACTTGTGTGAACCCACAGAAATATTTACTTCAAATCAGTTTTCCATTTTAATATTTGGAAAAAACGTAAATAGCATTCCTTCTATCCAGCATATGAAACAACTTTTCCAATGTTGACTGTACCTTAAAATACAAATGTTTTCTAATATGAAATCTGAAAAGATTCGCACAGAAGGAACTAAAATTTTCAAAGCAAAGCATGATAATAAATAAGCTATATTTACTCTCTAAGACTGAAACTTTATAATTTCAGGAAAACAGTCCAATCAGCTCAATCCCATCTCTTCCACATTCTATTAACAGAAACTAAAATATATATATATATATATATATATATATATAGGAAAATATATATACCTTCACTATCCTTGAATTTCTTGATTGCCACAATTTCATGTGTTTCCTGCAAAGGAAAAGAGGCAGAAAGAAAGTCATTCTC